TGCGCAACCCCTTTGAAAAGAGCAGGGCGTCGTGAGAGTGCAGTGACATATGTATAATCACATTCTGAAGCCTCGTAACATGGGCCAAGAATTGGTAAAGCGCTGAAGGGACGCCCAAGATCATGGAGAACACCGGATACACAACAGGGATATTTAGCCACCCTATAGACATATTGACATACATGTACAGAGTTTGAAAACGAATGACAAATCTGAAGCTTTCTTCCAGCGTCAAAACTATTTGAAGATCAGTCACCTGTTGCATCCATGGTCATGATGGTAGCAACCCTCCAAAAGTCGCCCATGATAGTAGCTTCTTGCTCCTAGTAGCGATGCCCTTTGTTACTAGTAGCGTCCTCGCGTTCTTACATGTATTTCTCATGACCGTCATTTAGGACTTGTGCCGAAGAAGTGGATACATGGACGTCGTTGAAAACTGAGCGACAGCTGAAGCCAGTGGACCTACCGCCACAAAAGTGTCACAATTGGGTCCTGGATTTCGAGCGGCTCTTCACTCAATTCTTCGTCCAGGAGGGGCTTGTCAAATCTAACCACAGAGAAGTTTAGCTGATATGTAGCCGCAGTTTGGTCTGATATCTCAGACTTTGAAATACTTTAGGCAACAAGTCAAACTCTGGGAGCCCAAATGAGCCAAAATGACTAAAGACTAAAGTCGGCCTTTTTTTGTCGCTTTGAGGTGAGGCCATCTCGCTTGCGTGGACTGTGGGACTCCTGCGAGGCCATAGCTCAACCGGAGGAGACCTGACGATTTTTGTCAGATTTCTTGAACAACGAGACTTTCGTTATCCTATTTTTGTTCTTTTTTCAGAACACACAGACAATGAATAACCTACCGTCTTTGCGTTGATTTCACAAAGCAGTGTCAAATTTGACAAAAGGATGTGGCAGCTGCTTGGGCTGAAGAGACTGCAACTTACATCATTCGCTCCTTGCCAGAAGCTGTCGCTCTGTTGAGAGAGACGAGTCAGCCTTTAAGGGATGCAAGAGACGGTGACACAGGCAACATTCATCCGGCAGCTTTTCCTTCTAATAGCAATGGCCTCCAACCCAATAGCAATGGCCTCCAGCTTTTCCTTCTCGTTTGGACTCCTTTACTTTGATTCTTTGCCTTGGCCGCGACTTGCTGCCTTTCACCTCTCGTCACAAGCCGGTGCTTGAAAGGTCATGCTCACATTTGCCACAGCTACTGGCCATATGTGCAGCTGGAGTATGCCACTGTTCACCAAAGACTTCTGCAGGAGCTACTCTTGCAGTCATGCACCTTCGTGCACCTCCTAATTCCCACAACCAACGGGGAAGTTTAATCCCAACAACCTACTTGTACATCAGAGTATAGGGATCGCACATGGAGACACAAGGAGGGGAGACTCTCGTCCACCTTAACAACGCAGATGCAGAATATATTCACCCGGGACCCGGGAAGAGGAAGATGGGACCTGAAAGAGGACTAGTTCCCTCTACAACTCAGTGGTTTCCATGTTAATCTTCCAGATCTTCCAGGGTGTAAGAGTAATTTGGCCATGCTCCTCCTGTGATTTATAGACGGAGAGACGGAGAGAGGAACAGATGGTGCTGAAGAGGACAAAGGAGTTTGACACTGGTTAAATCAGAAGCAGTGGCGAAGGGTTTTGGGACTTGAAACGTTGGATGCGATCCTGAAATGAGCTTCTGACCCCAAGCCAAGGTTCAGCTTTAGGACATCAAGCGAAGAAAAGCCTTGACATGAGAACAGGATCTCAAGCAGACATTTGGTCAACTCTGGTTCAACCGGGCAGGAGATGGAATGGACAGTGGAGTGGTCCAGCTCAAAGAGGCAGGGGACAGTTTGATTTTTTGCCAGATAGCACATCTCAAGCTTTAAGCTTCAGCACATTCTAGAAATTGCATGGCTTCCATGAACAGGTACTGTGTGGTCGTGACTCTTCTACCTGAACGGGTTTGCCATCGGCTTCTGTGGGCGATTGGTGATACCCGGCTGCCAGATGGGTTTTTAAGGCACTTGCAGCAGTCCTTGCAATGTCGGTGGCGGAGCCATCGCTTCAGATGCGCAGACAATCTTTTGCGGCCCTGGGGAACTTTCCAGACACTCCTGGTCCTCTGCACGGTGATTCTGGTGAAATGCTTTCAATCAGCTGATGCTCTTTTTCAAGAAGTCTATCGTCAAGGAGCAGGGTTGGAGGGCTGAGCGGGGAGTAGTCAGGGTCTCTTTGAAGCAAGCAAGGCTTTAGAAGCTTTGGGTTTTGAGGTTCTGTTGCTGACGACTCTGACGACTCACAACTTCCGTTTTATTCCGCAGGAATCCGAGATCCAACCCAAAGGGATGAAGCATTGGATCATTTGGCTTCAAGGCTCTTGTGCCTTGGAGGCTTCGGGCATTTGTGGGTCTTCTACATGGTCGCTTCGGTTTTCCCACTGCGGACGCTACACAGCCCATTTCATCGTGACCTGGGATCCATGGCAGCTTACTCGAACTACTCCTTGCAGCCGCTGGGAAGAATTAGCGACCAGAATTGATTATACTATACTGTTACTTATACTTATACATTATTATACTGTACTCACTGTACCTTGTTTTGTGCTTGCATTCTATTTGTTTTGATTTCCCCTCCCAGTTCAAAGGCACGTGCACTCCTGTCAAAAATGCCAACCTGAAGGAGTCAAAGGTATCAAGTACAACACATATCGTATTTCAAGACCAAACACAGAAAGATCCCCTTTGCAAACGTAAAATACATTCATCGTGGCTTGTTGTGCTTGTCAGGGCTACACGCGTGCTGTTGCCTTTGGTATCGACTGGCCAACTTCTTGCTCTTTTGGTCCGCTTTGATAGGCTACACATTTCAGTGTCCTTGTCCCACCTGAACCAGCACTCCTTCATGTTGGTTTGTGCATCAATGCTGCCCATTCTGGCAATAAGTGTGCCTTGGCATGCCAAAAGATCTCTTTATATATAGTTGTATAGCCTAGTTTGAGTCGATTCTTTTCCAAGCTGGGTCCATTTGTTTGCTTGTCCTGATGATTTAAACAACTTGAAAGCCAGGTCTGTATTGGGATGCGTTCCTCCTTCTACTCCTACTACCATGCCAGCTCCATTCTTCTTGCCTCAATGAGTGGTGTGGTGAGCATTGGCTTCACAGCCTATTTGGAAGTGGGCTGGGCAGTTCTGTTCGTGGCGGCTGTTCTTTTTGCTTCTCGGATGCTCACTCAACTCTGCTCACTCTGCTCACCTAACAAGGTCTTAGCCACTAGCCCATAGTTCATGAAATATCCAACATTGATTTGTTTAATGTTATTTTTCATTCCCCATTCTACGCACTAGCTGCGTTGTTACCTCTTATGAAATCCTCAATCCAAGGCTTGGCTCCTGCTTTTCGCTCAGTACACGGCAGAGTTCACCAAAGCGAACCTCTTGAAGGTAGTGGACCCAATGGATCCAGATCAAACAGAACCAGCAATATATACATCTATACATTTTTGTAAAGCCCGGGTTCGGCCTAAGAGTAGGTAGTAACTACTAAGTAGACTCAGGCACCAGGTGCCCTCATGCAGAAGGGCTCAGGCTTCTTCAAGGAAGTCTGAGCCGTCATTATTTATATACTGTAGTTCTTGGAGTTTTTGATGTCTCGGTCGTCAGATCTTCATTTCAAATTCAGACAGCAACTTGCTCTCTGCAGGCAGCTCAAATTCAGTGGGCGTGTGTTCATTGTCTTGTGGTGCTTGGCTTGGTTTTGGCCATTGCTTTGGAGGCACGTGAGGTCACCCTGATTGTCATACGAATACTGAAGGGATCCAGTAAATTGCCGCTCCTCTGGGGTGCTGTCACGGCGTGTCTTGTAGGGGCTGCGCAAGCTAACCAAGATTAAACCAAGGGGTCATCAGCTGTCACCCCACAGGTGGAAGCCGGATTTGCACGAAGATTTGTGAAGCTTTTCTGCAGCCCGGCTTTGGCTTGACTTGCCCCCTAAAAGTACCTTGTGAGCCTCGTCAGCCTGTTCTTTTAAAGGTTCTTATATTTTTTTACGGGGGGCAGGCGGGTAGAGGGAGCTATTAGCTAGAGGTAGCTATATAGTAGCTTCAGTAGCTACTACACGCTTCTTCAAGGCCCCCGCCGCCCTACTAAAGGCGGCGGGGGGAGCTTCCTCGAAGAAGCGTTCGCACTATTCAGTTGGTTCCTAGATTTTTAGGAAACTTAACTATGCCCCTTTAAAGGGGACCTGAATCGAGAAGCTCAGATGACCGGCAAAGTCCACCTCGAAACCCACATTTCTTTTTTCCCGAGGTGAGACACAGACACTGGTGCCAATCAAGGTTTGCCAACGCTTGATGGGTGGCCATGCGTGAGTAAGGTGCAAAGGCAGCAACAAGTTGTGCTAAAATGCACACATGGAAATCATTGAATTGTTCATTCATGTCGGTGCGGAAACATTCTGTGCCAAATCGTTCATCAATGTACAGTAGATCAGTATTTAGAATCGCTCATGCGAGGATCATGTACCAACCTGCATGGTCGTACATGAAACGCCTGTAGCTCAGACATTGATTGTATTTGGGCTTGTGTTTTAAACCGGCAGTCTCAATGGCCGATGGCATGTTGAGCGTGGTTCTCGCCCAAATGGCTTCCATTTGTTGAGGCCCCGTAGGATGAGTTGGTCTGGAGATCGCACCGCTTCAACGTGTACAGCCGGCGGTTGAAGCGAATCGTTACTCCAAAACAACCGTGCATCGCTCCGGGACAAGGTCATTGCAAGATCAGGGGTGTGGTCTTGATAAGCAGCTGCTTCAAGACTCAAAATATTGTTACCATTCAGCTGAGTGCTTTCTGAAAATGAGCCCTGCTGGCAGGTTGGAGATCCTTTTGACATTGTCATGATGTACGTGGGTAACTGAATGTGGTATCTCCTAGGGCAGCTCCTGGAACACCTGCCATTGTACTTCATTTTGTTTTCGTTTGAACTAGTTGTTGCTTGCGATTCTTCAACCCACCTCTGAGGTCACGGATGCCGAAGATCAAAATGATGCATTCAACTTGCAGGCAACTTCGTTGAATTCCCCTTTCGGTCCATGTCCAAACTCGTACCGACCTTTCTTTAGCCACCACAACGCTCTGTACAGAGCAAAACATTCGCTATGTGACAATGTAGAAACAGGGCGATTTGTGCCTTTTTCCTCATATCGATGCAGTACGGCTCAAGGCTTGTGCCATCATGGCAGGAATTCAACATACATGCCAGGTTGGTAGTCTGGCAAAAATCCATGGGGAGTGGATCTCGCAACCCATTTGGACGATCGTACTCGCCCTTTTGTCCGGAAGGCGGTGGTGTCTGTCGACCCCGACTGTGCAAGCGCCACGGTCAAAGCGTTCACCACGTACGAGATCTTCATGGAACAGTATGTGCAGACCCGAGAGGCTTAGAACGACAAGAAGACGAAGCGACCGCTACTAGTAGCAGCTAATCAATGTCTTAAAGGCATTTAATGACGAATAGATAGCATTAGAATTGAGCAGAGTGGAAACAGTTTCCTATTTCATTGAACATATAGTTGGAGTTCAAAGCTAAACTGTGGATCATCATTTGGTTCACTCGTACACACATACTGTTACTATGAAACCTATGTTGCTTGCAGGCACGTTTTGCTCTTTGCGAATAAGGTTGAGCAAATGTTCTTGCACAGCTTGTGGATTCCCGACTGGCGCGGCAACCCAAATGCATTCTTTGGTTTACATTTGCAACGCTTCTCGAGCCCAAACACTGGGACTCGTGATTGAGCTTTCAGAAGCCGGGAGATCTGCAGCCGGAGTCCCCAAGGTCCATTCTAATCATGGGTGTCACTGCGGCCACAGACCTTTTGCTGCTGAGCAGCCGCTTGACTTCATGCAGTCTTGTCGTGATTGAGGCTCCAACTGGGAAAGAACTCAGGTCACGATTCGCTTGGTTCGCAGCTTGGCTGGGCCCCGCTGGGACTGCCTGAGGCCGCATAGCAAATGTCTTAATCGTTCCTTAATGGCCCGTTGATCGCTTTGGATGCCATAGAGCTCTCCCACTGCAGGGAAAGCAGCTGAACTGCCCAAATTCGGTGGTGGATTCGGCGAGGAGCTTATCCTACGGACAAGCCGAACATATTGGCATACAATATCTAGTGCGGATTGAATACACGATAACAGACTGAATCCTCATGAATTCTGCCTGCTCAGATGTGTTTGCAGTCATTGACGCAAGAACTTGACTTCAGAGTTGACTTGAAGAAACCTAAGCACACAATAGCACACACATATATATATATATATAAATATTAAGGCTTACGCCTGACAGCCGGTCACTGGCCGGTATGAGAGGAAGAGGAAGAGATTGATTATTTACCTTCCCCCTTTCTCTGTTTCGCTCGCTCTCTGTATCTCTCTCTCTCTCTCTTTTTCTCTCGCTCTCTTTTGTCTGTCTGTCTGTCTATCTGTCTGTCGGTCCGTCCGTCCGTCCGTTCGTCCGTCCGTCCGTCTGTCGGTCTGTCTTATTTTCAGTCTCTCTGCCTCTCTGCACCTCTCTCTCTCTCTCTCGCTCGCTCGCTCCAAGGGAAAGAGAAAGAGGAAGAGGCAGAACAGGAACAGGAGCAGGCAGAAAAACAAGAGGAAGAGAAAGAGAATGTGGAAGAGAAAGAGAAGCAGCCAGAGCAAAAGAAAGAGGAAGAGGCAGAGGAAGAGGAAGCGAAAGAAGAAAAGAAGGAGTGGAAGAGAAAGAGAGGAAGGGGAAGAGAAAGAGCAAGAACAAGTAGGAAGAAGAAGAAGAAGACGAAGACGAAGACGAAGAAGAAGAAGAAGAAGTTGAAGAAGAAGAAGAAGAAGACGAATAACAAAGGAAAGAGACAGATAAAGATAAAGATAAAGAGACAGAGAAAGAGCAAGAGCAAGAGCAAGAAGAAGAAAACAAAATTAAAAAGAAGAAGAATAAGAAGAAAAACAACACAATAATCAGAGGAGGAAGAAGAAGAAGAGGAAGAGGAAGAGGCGGAGGAAGCGGAAGGGGAAGGGAAAGAGGAAGAGCAAGATGAAGAACAAGAAGAAGAGGAAGAGGAAGGATAAGGACCAGACATATAAAATGCTGATAATGCAAGGTGCCTTGTGGAGCATAGCTTGCATTACGTGACTTTGCAAACAATTTGAATCCATCAACATCAAAACGTATGTCCAAAGTGCATTGGGGCGCCAATCCTTTAATCTTCAGTGAGCCGAAGGCAAGGTCATGGGCACGGAGGTGGTGCCCGGATTTAAGGGCTGACATCCCCAGAAGCCCTCCCGACGAAGCATGTTTTTGGCGCGCTTTTACCCAATCTAATTCCACACAAGAAAACGAAAAATTGGCCTCGGTCACGGCCATAGGGCCATAGAGCAATTCTCGACCCTATCCTTCTTTCTAATTTTCTCTGAAGCCATAGAGCCGTTCTCGACCCCATCTGATTGGACCCGCCAAAATAGGCCCCAAAGCTGATCGGTCACTGCCAAACGTTGCATTCTGACGCCAGTAAAGATCCTTCTCTATCCTTCTCCATTCTCACTTGCCCTTTGCCCGGCTTCCTCCTGGCATGAGAACGGTTTATCCTTGTGCCAACCTGTGGCATTCCGTCTATGTCTGTCTGTCTGTCTGTCTGTCTGTATGTATGTATGTATGTATGTATGTATTAATGTGATGTGATGTGATGTAATGTCTGTAATGTAATGTAATGTATTGTAACGGAATGTAATGTAATGTCATGTAATGTATTGTAACGGAATGAAATGTAATGCAATGTAATGTAATGTATTGTTATGTATGTATGTATGTCTGTATGTATGTGTCTGTCTGTATGTATGTACGTACGTATGTATGTATGTTTGTATGTATGTATGTATGTAAGTAAGTAAGTATGTATGTATGTATGTATGTATGTATGTACGCATGTATGCATGTATGCATGGATGGATGGATGGATGGATGCATGGATGCATGCATGCATGTATGTTTGTATGTATGTATCATGCATGCATGCATGTGTGTTTGCATGTATGTATCATGCACGTGGGTGGGTGGGTGGGTGGCTGGCTGGCTGGCTGGCTGCGTGCGTGCTTGCTGGCTGGCTGGCTGGCTGGCTGTCTGTCTGTGTCTGTCTGTCTGTCTGTCTGTCTGTCTGTCTCCGACTTCTAGTGCAGTGGCCTCTGGCGCGCTCCCCCACCATCGGCTGGGGTCGGCAGATGATATACAGTTGTGGCTAAGGACACCACCAAGCTGCGAGGGCTGTGTCTCGTGACCAGCTTCAAAGGCACAATTCCAAGGAGAGCAGCTGGTCAACAAAGCAAACATTTGTTCTCCGAAGTCTGCTTTTGTTAGCAAATAAATGTAAGTATAAAGGGATGAAGGTATGTACTGCTAAGGAGCTCTTAAACGCGGAAAGATATCGGTTCGGAGAAGAGAAGGTGAAGCCCTTGGGAGGAAAGAGACCACGGAGCCCGACATGGAAGCACCACCAGTGGTGCTGCTTGCTGCGTCTGATGGGACTGTGAGCATTCACTATTGTTCGGCGCTCAAGTGGACCAGTGCCCAAGCTATAGCGGCCAGAGGTTGAGGCCTAACAGCAATGGCCTCGTTCAATGTAGGTAGTTGGGTGCCAAGCAACAAGGTGTCAATGTGTTCCCAGTTTGAGGTGACCATGATTTGCCCCCGCCACAGCATTCTCCGCTTCTGGGAAAGCCAGGCCTGGAGAAGCAAGAACCATGCAAACAATGAAACAAATGGTGAGATCTGTACACAATTGCATTGCAAAAAAGGACGCTTCCCTTTGCTGTCTGTCAAAGGACAGCCCTCGGCTGAAAAACAGCTTCTCCGATGTTGGCTCAAGAATCGATACCGTATCTTTATTGAATATGCAATGGCCGTGGCTGAAAGAAAGTGAGTTCCCTTACTGTATCCCATTGTGTTACCCTGAGCGTGAGGAACCGATCTAAAGGCCTCCCAAGGGTCTTTAGCTGAGTCTTTGAGCAAGCTGAAGCCGTTGGAATGTTCTTTTTCAAACGGCCTTCATGCCTCTTGAGCTCTTGCAGCCATGGATTCTCCCCTGGAAAGGGCCAGCCCCAGCGCGGCCGGGCAGTATGGAACTCTACTTCCACCCGAACGGCATACGGTGAGCACTTTTCAGGCGGCCTGGACGTGACTCAATTGGCCCGGACATGTTGTAAAAAACAATTCTCCCACCCCAATAGCGATGGCCTCCAACCTAGAAGCGATGGCACCAAATAGCAATTTCATGCCTTTGTGCATTCCTCCATTCGTCCCAGGCTGGGGTCGCTCTTTTCAAGGCGGTTGTGGGGCCTGGAGTTCTGTTTCTGCCGTCTGCAGCCTCTTGAAGCATGTTTATGAGTTTCTGCCCAGTGATGGTTCATCACATCCATTGACTTGGCTGGTCTACTTAGGTTAAGAATGCAGGTCTGGTCTCAGCCCTAGGCGTAAGCCTGGTCTGTGGGGTTACCTGGCTCTGAGCACAACGAACACGAACATGCTCAACGAGGTTGGCAGATACTATACTGTATATAGTATGGATTGTAGAAGTGTTAAAGGCCATGGTAGACTAACATTGCATAGTGCAAGCTTTGACCCTTCTTGGAACTGGTTTGTGCAACAAAAAGTGAGGTTTTGGCAATTTGGTGCCTGCTCTTGGTGCTAGATACAGCTCAAGTCCTCCGCAGGACGTGGTTCCGTACAGTATGCTTGCGCTGTTGCAGTTGTTGAAGTAGATTTCTACAGGAATGGGTACACCATCAAGACCATGAGTGATATTGGGCTTGCCGTATATGGTGTGTATGGACAAGTCATGGTTGATGTTTGTGTGGTCCCACTCTCAGCACATTCACGTGCGGCCATTTGGACTTCAGAGTGCTTGCATTGTTTTGGTGGATCAAGCTGCATCTTGAGGTCATTTCTCAGCTCGGCTTTTGCATCGCCTACTGTGTGTTTGTTGCAGAGAATGTTCAGGCAGCTCGGCATTGAGGGCCTTGGGATGCTCTCAGTTTTGAAGTGATTCCCTGAGGCATTTCTCTTCGAGCTGGCAGGAGGTATGGTGGGGGCAGCAGACAACCCAGCGACTTGCAACCTCACGGGCTTTCTGGCCGACGCCCCTTGTCTTGCATTGCCCCACGAGTTGACCGGAAGAACATGTCCAGGCTTGTTGCACGTTTAGCAGCAGCATGCATCGCTGAGGAAAAGCTGGTATACTACATTATCTTGATATTGATACCTTTCCTCATTCCTGTGACATGGCTTCGGCAGATCAAGTATTTTGCAGTCAGCAACACTATAGCATCGACTTTAGTGCCTTGGCTCAATCAGGACTTTCTTTGATTGGGTTGGAGGCCATCGCTATTAGGTAGGCCATCGGCCATCGCTATGACATTTCTAGTTTCCTTGACTAACCTTATGGGTGAGGTTCTGCAAGTTTCCTTCGAACATTTACCAGAGAGTTCTTAGGTTGTGGTCTCGCTGGCATATATGCTTGTTCTCCTGGGCCATCGGTATGCAACCGCAAAATCACCAGGTCTGAGGGCTTGTTTGCAATACCAAGCGATATTTCTTTACTATCAAGATCTAGTAAGTTTCCCTGAAAATCTAGGAACCAAATGAATAGTGTGAGCGTGAGCTATCCTGCGTCCAATATGTAGTAGCTTAGGTAGCTAGGAGCGAACTTCTCCCTTACTCAATTGAGTAGTAGGCACCTAACCTTGGAGCGATTGCTTCCTGAGTCCACGACATCGCCTTCGTTAAGACGGATTCCTTAATTCTCCTAGCACTTACTAAATCTCTACTTAGTTAAATTGGGGATGTGCAAAGATGGCCACATGAATGTGGAAGGTGAGGGACTTTTGCTATACAATTTGCAGCTTGGTTTAATCAATGCTTGCTCGGCTTATTCAGAATCTCAGCACCATGCGACACCGTCCCAAGACAAGGGAATCCAAAGGTCCATGATGGACTCGACCATGTAAGATCGCTGTGTATTTGTATAAGAACAATATTGATATGATCTATATGATTGTTAAACATTATGATTGTGATATACAACTATCTACAGTTTCTACAGTTGTGCAAAGCATTGTGCATAAGATATTACTACAGGCACGGAACGCTGGTGTATCTTGGCACCGCAATGTATGCCTTCGAGGGCGTAGCAGTGCTGCTTCCAGTTGAGGACCTGCCTCGATCTTGACGTGATCAACACTTTGGAATGTGAAAATCAGTAAAAGGTAGCTACTTGTTCCTTAGTAAGGCCAGGAGCCCCTAGCAGCGTCCTAGGAATCGTGGACATGGCTGGTCTCTTTTTGACACATTTTGGCCCACAAGGACAAGATGGAGACTCCGCAGTTGATGCCACAGGTGGTATGCTGGACATTGGGGTTTGCGCTCTTTTTGCAAATTTCTTTTGATGCTTGCCTGAATTGCTACATGACTTACTGAAGAGTGACACCCCTGCTCCAGCTTTTTTAGTGTCTGAACGGACGCTTTTCTGGTCCAAAAAGAGACAGAGCTCGCGGATGAGTGTTTGATGACTGTAAACGGTCTCGACTCTGTGTGTTCCAAAATGACCAGTCTACCCTTTACAACAGGGCCGATTCTGCTTGCATTGATGTATGACACCCCTCCAGCATGCTTCGCAGTTGGGCCTGGTCATGGTCATGATCTGGTCGTGGATTGCTCAAGGCATTCATTGCATATCTGAACTACCGTGGAAGAACGCAATCCATTGTGACGATATCTTTGGCCGATGGCCAAATCGCAGGTGCCATCTTCAGGTCAACCAGAAATCTGTAGAATGTCGTGGATTGAATCATGCAGCTTTGGATGTCACATTCAAGATTGGTCCTGACCCACTTGCCAAATCGGACCCGAGGTGGTATTGCCTCTGTCGTGTTTGTGCAGTTGGCCTGGGTGGTAGAGGCAATCATCATTGAATGATGATCATTCTACACTCAAAAGGAGAGTCTCCTTTAATAAAGCGTAATCATCGCGCAGTCGTCACTTTATGTTGGGCAGTCATCCAACCAACGAAGACCTCTTTCGACCTCAAGCTCCAAGAGCTGCAGGTCCTTTTGACATTTCCTCTTCAGCTCTTCCCAGCCGTACGAATATTGGTACCTCGGCGGTTAAAGTGGTTGTTGCATCGTGCTTCCTTGATGAGAGGTCGATTCATATACTGCACGCAAGCCCTGTGTCGACCAAGGAACATTCTTGCTCCATCACCGAGAGGAACTCGGGTTTGAAGTGGACGAAGAACCTTATGCGTGCCCTGGCTCTAGGTCCTTAAAAGTGACAACTGAGGGAGGCCTGCTCCCTCTTCGCAGTTTCTGATGAATTCAAACAGGCTCACAATTCAAATCGCTGAATCTGCCAGGTGCTGGCATCGTGCTGCTGTGTTTGCGCCTCATCAATCGACTCATCAATAGACAGAGCTTCACAGCAGCCTGGGCAGTCTGTCTGAGAGCATTTTCCTTCGGGACGTGTTCTGTTTCAGGCATGCTGGTTTCTCTATTTGGCTACACTTCTGTGGACAACATGGTCTCAATGATTGGTGCTCTTGGGTGCATACCGTTCCTTTCTTTGCAAGTTGCCATTTTCAGGTTCCAACTGAAACAGAGATCAAGTGACAAGACTTTTGGATCTTTTTCGACAAAACTGGTCCATGAAGCAATGATGTGGTTTGGTTTGAACATCTTTTCTGGTTAAAACTTCTGTAAGGCTTGCGATTACGTATCCAGCTTTGCACCTCGGTAGCATCTATACTTTCGCAGCACATTGCCCTTCGATGCCTCGTCAGCTTGTCGTAACAAACGTCTTGCACACCATGCAAAAAAAACACTCTCTTGATACATGGTTGTAGATCTTGTTGTAGACCTTGTAGCTGATCATCTTCACTGAAGCGCCAACCAAGTCACCCTGTAGGTTTCACTACAAAGTGAAGCACGACTTTCCCGTGTGTGAGCAGGCCGGGATGAAGGCTGCAGAAGAAGGGGCTCAATATGTGTATATGTAAGAACATAAATAAAAATATAAACATATATATATATACAGATTCGATCAAAGGTTTTGACCAAGCGCACTTTTCACGAGCCAAGACCATTCTATAGACATGATGGTCCGTGCAAAACCACAGTGGTGCTTGTTATCCTTGCCAAAGAACCAGCAACAGGTGCTTTCAAGATTTGGATCTCCTGACAAAGCTTTGTCCATTTGCAACCTAAACAATCTCAACATTGGCTCACATGACAGCTGGACAATGGGTTACAAGCCCGCATTCTTCATTGGGCTGGCCATCCACTACTACTGAGGATGGAGATTCAGAAGAATCTACAAGTACTTGCCTCTGTCTCAGTGAGCCCTTTTTGATTTGTTCGCATGTTTGTCCACATGCATTGAGGCTTGCTGCAGGATGGTTGTAAGCCCCAAGTTGAGAAAAGTGACCTGGCCATCGTGATCATGGGTATTCTCAGCACAGTCCCTTGGGCCTTGCCATTCTTCAAATCTTTGACGCTTGACTTGCCGGTGGTTTGTGTAGCTGTCCTATAGTGTCCTCGTTGTGCAGCTGAGGTGACTGCAACTATCATGGCGGTGCCTCGGAAGCATATTTAGGCTGTAGAGCGCCTCTCGTTTCCCACCGAAGATTGCCGAGGTAATCTCGTGGTCATCTACCGATTTTCACTTTCAGTCCTGCGTTTTGCGCCACTAGAATCTCCAAAGCGAGAAAGCAACAATGGCAATGAGCATGCTGATCGGAATGATGGCTCAGAAGTGAGTCACACTGTCGGAATAGCTTCAACAGATCTGTTGATTGATCCGTATTTCATCCACATTGACTTTGAAGACAATGTCCAAGGCAGAAAGAACTGTTCGCTTTGCCGATGTAGACCAGCTTTATCAATGAACTGCCGGTCACGCATGCTAGCATGAGGGATCCAAACAAGCGACGTTAACAAAGGTGTTTGGAAACAAGCATACCTTCACCATCCTTCACCTGACTCCACCAGCCAGGTGTCTCGAAAGCTGCCATGGCCTCATCGCCCTTTGCAGCAACTGGGACCTCTTCATCGCCTTTCCAGGTGACGTCAAGCAGTGACCAGTCGCCAAGCACCTTTCGACCGGTGATGTCAGTCTTTCCGCCGAGGCCACGTCAAAAGCACCTGCCATGTCACCCTTTGGCGGAGGCAAACTTTTTGGCACAAATGAAAGTCTTGGCTGTCTTCGCGGTCTTAATATGAGCTGATGGCTGTGGCTATGGTGACCTGAGAAGATTGAAGAGGAAGATTGGTGACCTGTTTTGTTTGTTTCATTTGTGCAAAGCAAAGAAGAAACGTAGATTGCCTGCAGGGAGCTCTTCATCTGGAGGGCTTTTTGGCAGTGCTTGGCACCTAAGTCACCAAAGCTCCGCTGTAGCTCTGAAGCTGCAAAAACAAGTTCAAACCGCCAACTGGCAACTTTCTTTTGACGTGCACGTGTTGGCTTGTGCAAGCCAGACTTCCCGCACATACCAGGCTTCTGCAGCCTCGCCATTTGCAAGCCTTGGGCCATTGGCTTAAGGAAGTCAGCGAATACGGTGTGACCCTTTTGAGACCTTACAGACTTGCAAGCCACTGTTTCACAACTCGTATATATATATATATACATATGTAGATATGTGTATATATATATAGATGTGACCGTGTTCATTTTCACATGCCAGATTGCTTCAGGTCTGGCGAGAAAGATGCTAAGGGTACACCTTTCCAGGTGTCCTTGGATTTTCAAGAAGGGAGTGAGGATTGGTGTCCAAAAGGGTCCCTGCATTTCCAAGATTGGTTCACCCTCAGATCTGCGATCTTTCAGTGGCTCCCTCATGTTTGTCAGCCACTTGCTCCACCTTTCTTTAAGTCTGCCACTCATTTACTGGACAAGGTCCTATGCTTACTGGTTTCTTTAAAGCAGCATACATTGACAATGTAGGCAGGCAATGGCGTCAGAAGAGGACCGAATGTAAACGTAACAATATCATACAATATCCTTCTTTTTCTTCCACTCGAAGCACCCATGGACGAAGGAGTGTTCGTGGGTGTAGGAACAACCCGTCTAAGACTTGAATTAACAATGGACTATGGGAGTCCTATGATATGGGACAAGGATCAAATAATTCCTTGAAAGCAAGCCGATTCGTTGTGGTGAAGAAACCAGTAGCTGAAAAAAGGGCAATTTCACATTTGCTTATGTCTCTTCCATTGCTTCACAACCCACTCATCCAGCCCGGAGGCTTCAACTTTGGCAGGGACACCCTTTGGAGGCGCAGCCAAGGCAAATTGAGCAAAAGCCAATCTGAATGACACATTCTGTGAGCAGGTGCTACCGGCTCTGTGCTTGGCTTAGCTGCCTGGAGTCGTCTACAAGCTGGTCAATGGAATTCTATGCTGGAGGGAGAAAGACTTTGACGTTAGTTTCACACCCCGTTCTGCGGGGTTTGATGTTTTGGCTGAAGGAAATGATCTTCACAAAATCTCTTCCGCCTTGTTTGCACCATCTTTCTGGTCGAGACACCTTTTCTGTCTTGCACACACACTTGAGAAGGTTGCTCCGTGGAGCGCGATTTCAGGCTGCTTCGCGGTGTGCATTAGCCCTTTAGAGTTACTGCAGATTAGACCTTGACTGAAAAGAAAGTGCTGGGTCGGTCGAACAGAATTGTTGAAACATCGAATGAATGAATGAGTTAAAAATAATGCAGGTACAAGTGGTTGATCAGACCACTCATCCACCGAAATGCCACAGCTTCGTTGGACTGGATAGGCAAATCGGCTCCAGTCCCCCTGCTACTGTACAAGGTTTGAAAAGTCATAGGAATAGAAATAGCTAGAGTAGTGTCCTTGGAAACAGGAGTGGACACACACAATGAGCCGAGCACGGCGCAACTAGAAAGGTAACTCTGCTGGCGGATCGTCTTTTCCTCGAAGCGACACCTGAGCAAGTGGATCAAATTTGTTTCTCCGTGGTCGTAGCGCCGCGGCGCAGTGTTCTTTTGCTTTTTCTTTTT